ATCTGTGATGGTGTGCTTCATCTCCCCACACACCCAACCTGACTTTTTCCTGTAGTCCTGCTCAAGTGATAACTGCCAGTGGTGATGGATGCATCTGGTCACGATGGCTGCATCCAGCTCAAAGTGGATTTGGGGAAAACAGATAACAACACAACAGCCAAGGCCTAATTTATGGCAATGCACCCACCTAACCGCAGTGCTGGTCAATGTCCAACTCAGGACAAATTTGGAAGAAACTAACATCTGCAGTTAGTATGTAAATATGACTATGAACCAATTATCTTACTACCACAAATAGTGAGCAGCCCAAGAGCCCTTTGAGATCTCCTGCACTGCAGGGGGCTGCATGCCAGCATCTCCACTTGGGTAGGGACACCTGTCAAGGTTACACCTAGAGATTGAGAGATTCCTTGCCACAACAGACCCTCAGTAAATGACTAATAGCTTGCTAAACTTTGAAGCTTCACTTAGCTTCATTGTACAGTGATTGTGCACATATAATCCTTCAGACATAAACTGTTGACCAAGTCTGGGGCTAGGACTGGATCCAGCTGCACCTAGACTCCTCTCTGAGCAGAGTTCAGGAAGCGAAGGGGTCCTTTCTGAACCTCATGACAAGGAGAGGGTCTCCCTGACAGTTTTATCTGACCCTGTCCTCTATACAGTAAATAAACAATGTACCTTTCCATTGAATCTTGTTAAACCACTGCTGCATTTATTACCAAACTTTGTTAAATCACTGTTTTATATCGATAAATATATTGCTGCTTCCCTGTTATGACTGAAGTGCATTACTACATCCACGATACCATTCATAAGACATCTAAACCTATCTGAAAACATGAATATGGAATTCTTACAGAATTCTAGTTCACCTGGAGCAACAGTTAGTAAACAATAAAACACATAAGTGTTTACACATAATAAGTAAACAATAAAAGACAGACCATAGTCAATATATATAACAGTAAACGAGTGCCAAATTCTCCCTCTGAGAGGAAAAGCCCTCAATGCTCTATGCAGGCATTAATGGCAAGTAGGCATTAAATTAACAATGATACAGTCCTTTTCTCTCCCTTTTCTACCTCCCCTTCTCCCACCTAGGAGAGATATTTGGCCAGCAGCAGGGCTGAACACCAAGCAGCCCAGCGCTGTTCAGGATGGTCTCCATCCGCTGCTAGAAACAACTGCCACCACTTTGGTCCTTAAAAAAGAAAACTATAAGCAAGAGGATACAAATAATCGGCCTCCCAGTTGGTAACAAGCACTTTCTGATTGACCTGAGGTGAATCTGAACCTGGCCTTGAGGGACAAACCGTAGAAAACTCTGTTCCTCAGTCTTTTCTGCTAACCAGGAAAGACAGTTTTCCCCACAGCACACCAGCTGCTGTGAATTGTGTGCTGTGGTACCTAGCTCTCTTTCCTGGTGTGTTTAAGACCAGGTACCTGTCACAGCAGCTGTGAATTCAGCGAGGCTTAAATGTTAAGTGCTACTGCTCTGAATATCATATTACCTAATACTTCCTTTGGGAATGCATATCTAAAAGTGATGAGATTTTACTTCTGTAGTGTAGAAGGCAAGACATAGGTGATTTTCACCTCCTCTTCACAGTGACTGAATAGGTGGAGAAAGCTCAAGTAATGGATCTTTATACTGACCCAATGATGTCCTCTTAGCTTGTGAAAGGATTTTGCAGTAAGCTATGCATCACTTACAAAGATTTTTTGCTTAAATTTTGCTAGTGCCTAAGAAATAACTTTAAAATGACATTCTTTCTTTGTGAGTACTGTGCATCAGTTGAGTCAATTTGGAAATGGAAGTATCTTGTTCTAATCTTGTTCTATCGCCACTGCCAATTCTGTTAATTTAGCTGCAGACCTGAATATCAGGCAGAGTTATTTTGTTCCTCATGGACCATCAGCAGTAGTACTGTTTTTCCATTCAAAAGTTTGTTAAGAAAGCTATTGATGGGTATGAATCAGCACAATAGTCACTTCTTTCCCAATTAGCTGATTTGTTCCATAGGTTTTATAAAAAAAGGGGCAGGGGTAAGCAAAAGGTTAGTAGTAAACTGAAATAACAGGACACAGGCACTAAGCAGCAGGTGTACCAATGGAGAAAGGTTTTTTCAACCTTGAATCCCAAACAAAACTCTCAAAAGTACCCTAGGCTCTGAAAGGTGTTATCAAAGGTTTTAAAGTTGGCATGCACCCCACTGTCCCCAAGGCAGGGCTGCTGCTGTCTGGCAGTGATGAGTTTGTCATCTAGCCTTCAGCAGGACACAGATTCAGCCCTACCCTCAGCTGGAAGAAGCTGGCATATGCACATACTGATGCTACCTGAAAAACTGGACTGTAGTTTACCTTGCTTTCTGAGAAAACAAAGTTTCTTGTGTGCGTTTAGGTACATTAATATCTGTTCACTCAAGTCAAACAAATTTTTAACTTGGGACAACATCCAAATAAGGACAAGCATATAAAAGATAATGTTTCTACCAATTTTCTGAAAACCAGTGGCTGGCTCAGAGAGAGAGAGAGAGAGAGAGAGAGAGATGCTCTAAATGACCCCATGGGTGAAAAGGCTGCAGTATGTACCTCCCGTTGACCAGGCAGCAGAGGAGCCACGCTAGAGGGGCAGGAGCCCTCCCCAGAGTTTGAAGGGCTACAGTTGCTTCCAAACATGCAGACCCCCATTCTGCTCTCAGACCCTATTAAGTGTTAGAGCATTTCACTGCAGATGCAGAGCTGAGGAACCCAGGCCATAGCACTACTGCTGCTCATGGTATTAGGTGCTAACTTTTGTGGTTATGAAAGTAATCTTGAAAAGCTTGGAGCAAATGACCTGAGAGGTGTGACTTTTCCCATTCATCTCCATCAACTACTAATCCTGAAATCTAAAAGTGACAATTTAATTACCAATGTTAATCATTTCAGTACAAAGAGTTTTCATCAAAACATACAGCGATTTGTATGTCTGAAAATCTCCAACTGCTTTATCCTTCTTCACATCTTTGCATCTTCTTTTCACCAAAACCCCTTCAACTTCCTAAAACTTCTAGTTCCCCCATCTTCCATAACCCACAGCCTACCTGAATCTGAAGGTATAGATTAAAATATTGTGAATTTATAAAAGTCACAATAAAATCAGTATGAATAGCCTAGGGTGACTGTGAGTAGTGCTGCATTCATTGGCTTTTTGGTCTGCCACACCAGGGCACAGCAGAACATGGTCCCCACTACAGGACACAAAAAAACTCTGGGTTGGAAGTGCTTCTCAAGGCAGTCTGTTGAGTATTTTTTGCCATCTTGCAGGCAAAGGGCCTAGAATTTAATTTTAACCAGTACAGGATTTATAGTCTATTAGGAATTTGCCTATGTTTTTTTCAATCCAAAATTGCTCTTTCATACACACATATAAACATACATGTACTCCCACACATGCCTAATTAATTTTGATATATCGTTCTCACAGTGAAGAATTGTTTACTGGGAAGGATTTTTGGAAAAAAATTGCAATCGTATTCCCAGGATCCTATATTGCCAGCTATGGCTAGAATAGGAATCCATCAAATAGACAGATACATCATCATTTTCCCCAAACACTATCAAGTATGATCATCGCATCAGCCTTTCATTTATCATCAATCAGAAACAAAGATTTACTCAAAATGCAGCCTTTGCCCATAAAAAATGAGTTATTTACCCCTGTCAAATTGACTATGGGAACATTAAAGCTGTTAGCATTTTCCTCCCTTAAACTCAAATGCATGTGGCTTTACTTGAGGATATGACCCAGTATCTCAGGCAGAAATATGTTTCATCTTCATCGAGAAGAAATTAGTTAAGGTCAAAGGTAAAATAGCGGTTTCTTCAGCATAGTTCTGTGATGATGTTCATTTTGGCCTGAATGAAATGTCGTTTATCACCATTAAAGCAGAAAATGGAAATCACATAAGCTAATTAGACAGTTTTCTATAAAAATACTGCTATTCAAAAAATAAAGTTCAAATGCTTTACTGTCATAGTGAGCCCATTTAAAATTAAGGTGAAATCAATGGTTATGATAGCTTGAAGAATATTATGATTGTATTTAGAGCTTTTGGGAATTCACCCAAAAGTCTTGTTTTGGAATATTTCTTCAATGTGTTCTTGCAGAAATGGTTGGGGGTCCTGGAGTTATGGAATGTCAAGGAGCAACAGGGTGATGTGCTCCTTTCTGGTCAATAAATGGCAGCTTTGTCTATTAAAAGGAGGAAAAAAAAAACCACCAAGTTAATTCAACACACATTCCCAGGAATGAATGAATTTCATCCTGAACTGAGACTTTTCAACAGGTTCAGATGGATTCAGATAATACAGATAATTCAGATAAGGCCCCGTCACTTTCAAGTGTTAGATGTCTCAACACCCTCAGGTCACAAAATACTGGGAATTCCAGAAACAAGCTAGTTGGGATTAATACTGCAGAAAAGCAGCTTGGATCATTCACTCTAATCTGAACAAAATCTCTAGCCTCAATTTATGACTGCTTCTGTTTGTTTGCCATTTAAAACTCTTGCAGAGCTCTACTGAAGCCAGCATCTACCACATCCTAAATTATAGTTGATGGTAATCCCCCTGAACAAATTGATGGATGCATGGGTCTCCTTCTTTGTCAGAAAACAGCAGTTATCACTATCAGTATCTACAATTTTCCATATAAAGTTATTTTATGTCTTTATACAACTTCAGTTACTAACCCTGCTTCTTACATATGTGGGTGACATAGGCAGGATAACTCAGGAAAGCTCTACCAGAGCTCCATCAAAGCTAGTAGAGTCATGCTGATTTATGTCAAATCCTGACCACACTTTCTCCCTCTTTCTTTCACATGTGCATCCACAGGATAACAAAAACTCATTACTCATTGCATCTGTTCTTATGCACTAAATTTGACAAAGCTCAGCCCCTCCTCAAGAAACTTTGCTACCAGTAATCCGTGGTTTCTGTCCCTCTCCCAGGTCTATAGTTGCTGACCAGAGCAGACAGTAACAGTCAAAGTAACAGTTAAAGTAACTGTCCCTTCAGCTGCTAACATTTCCCTGGTAAGTAGTTTTATTCAAATATGATTTTGCTGTCTATTACACGTGTGAAAACCTATCTTCTCAAGGGCTAGGTGCAGCCTATGTCTTTGTTACAAATGACCTGCCCCATGTTTCTTCTGTTTTATGTGTCCTCTGCCTCAGTCCACCCCTTATTATTGTCCTCTGAATGTTTGCTATTTATTACTATTTTTCATAAACCAGGAGTTGCTGGAAGCTGAGAAAACACGTTGTGTAAAATCCTCACATTATATTTCTCATTTCTTGCAACCTTTTCTTGGGCATAGTCAGACAGACCTGAATGGTCTTTCGGTTTATATCCGGCATGTCCATTCTCACACCACTGAAGTATGTGTTAGTCTGCAGCCTGTCAAAGGTCTTTTTGGTCTGCCACAAGGGAAGAGTTACTCATTCCCTGCTCCAGAGATGTTACTAGACGTGTGTGTATGTGTCATGCAATATGTAACTCTTCTTTGGGCAAAAACGGCAAGCTGGTGTCAGAAGAGCATTTTGCAGCTGATCTGTACACCCTGCATGTGCTGGGAAAAGGAACATATGAATGATATTTTGAATGAGCGATTTGTTTCATGTAGAAAGTGAAGAAATGGAGTAACTACGAAGATAGCACTTTGGCAGCAATGGCGGGTTAAACTTGGTGTGCCAATGTGTATGACAAGAAACATCACTTAATGCAAGGCAAGACAGTGAGTAACAGGAGAAACTTCTGGAATTGAGAGAGCCAGGTGACAAACTTCCTTCAAAAGAGAGGATGGCAAAATGCTGCAGGCCACTTTAGCCTTAGCCTGTCAGAGATATTATAGGAAAGGAGAGATGACCTGATAAGAGCTTATACTTTCCCTGGCAAGCATGGCTCCTGTACTGTTCTGCTGTGCTGTGACACCTTGTGTAAAGTTACAGAATGGAACAGAAGAGACACCTCATTACCACTCTCCATAGCACAGTTGCTGAAGCAGCTCTGTGCCACTTTATACCAGCAGAGTCTCTGTGTGGGGTCTTTGAGTGCTCCTTTTTTAAGTTCTTCCCCACAAAGGGTATTCCTGCCGTCACTGCATTTGGATAGTAACTGCTGAAAGCTAAATGGCCTTCACAAGCAGAGGACTCTCCACTGATGACTGTGCTACTTATTGCTAAATGCATTGCCCATATATGTAGAGTCCATTTGTTCCTGTGATGGTTTCAGGATCTCCCAGGTGATCCAGAAATACTCACATTCAGCTGGGTCTTTATTGCAAAGATATGGAGTCTGGAGGTGAAAGGGAGTTCCCTAGAAAGGGCCATATCTGCCAATATGGATAACACGGACTATTCATATTGCCATTTCCATCTTTATTTTAGCCTTAATAGATACTAGAGACTTCACCTCAGAGCATCTACGCCGCTCATTGCTAAGTCAGTTGATGGCCTGAAGATCATCTCTGACTGCCTAACATACCCAGGACCACACTGTAAAATTATAATGATGGCAAAAATAGTTTAAAAAAAATCCAAGCATCCCTCTGAAGTCCAGGAGGTCAAGACTCTTGGGCTTACAGGAGCAATTATAGGACAAGGTCATAACATCATACTGTCACTTGCATTTGTATTCAAGACAAATGATATGGTTTGACAGGAGCAATCACTGGCCTTGGAAGAGGACTGTAGTTCTACTGCAGAGAAAGCTCTGCCTGGATTTTGGCTCTGATACCAACGAAGAGATCCCATAACAGAGGGCATAACCCCAACATAGTGCACCTTGGACTAGAACACTTACAGTGATTATCTGCTGCAGTCAAAGAGCTTTGCCCTCCTGCAGGGAAAAGACAGCATCAGACTCAGGAGACAATAGATAAACCCACATAGCTGGTTGAATAATCATAGAATCATAGAATCAAGGAAGGGACCTTAAAGATCATTGGGTTCCAACCCCTCTGCCATGGGCAGAGACACCTCCCGCTAGAGCAGGTTGCTCAAAGCCTTATCCAGCCTGGCCTTGAACACTTGCAGGGATGGGGCATCCACAACTTCCCTGGGCAACCTGTTCCAGTGCCTCATCACCCTCACAGGAAAGAATTTCTTTCTGCTATCTAATCTAAATCTCCCCTCTTTCAATTTAAAACCGTTACCCCTTGTCCTGTCACTACACTTCCTGACAGAGTCCCTCTCTGGCTTTCCTATAGGCTCCCATCAGATATTGAAAGGCCGCTATAAGGTCTCCCCGGAGCCTTCTCTTCTCCAGGCTGAACAATCCCAGCTCTCTCAGCCTGTCCTCATAGGAGAGGTGCTCCACTCCTCTGATCATCTTCGTGGCCCTCCTCTGGACCCGTTCTGACAGATCCATGTCCTTCCTGTGTTGAGGACTCCAAAGCTAGACACAGTACTCCAGGTGGGGTCCCACGAGCGCAGAGTAGAGGGGCAGAATCACCTCGCATGACCTGCTGGCCACACTTCTCTTGATGCAGCCCAGGATATAGTTGGCTTTCTGGGCTGCCAGTGCACATTGTCAGCTCATGTTAAGTTTCTCATTCACCAACATCCCCAAGTCCTTCTCCTCAGGGCTGCTTTCTAGCCATTCTCCGCCCAACCTGTATTTGTGCCTGGGATTGCCATGTCCCAGGTGCAAGACCCTGTACTTGGCTTGGTTAAACTTCATGCAATTTGCATGAGCCCACCTCTCAAGCCTGTCCAGGTCCCCCTGGATGGTATTTCTTCCCTCCAGCGTGTCGACCGCACCACCGAGTTTGGTGTCATCGGCAAACTTGTGGAGGGTGCACTCTATCCCACTGTCCATGTCTCCAACAAAGATGTTGAACAGCACGGGTCCCAGTACAGACCCCTGAGGAACACCACTCGTCACTGGCCACCAATTGGACATTGAGCCATTGACCACAACCCTTTGAGTGTGACCATCCAGCCAGCTCCTTATCCACCGAGTGGTCTATCCATCGAATCCATTAGTTTCCAATTTTGAGACCAGGATGTCACGCGGGACAGTGTCTAACGCTTTGCACAAGTCCAGGTAGATGACGTCAGTTGCTCTGCCCCTGTCCGCCAAGTGTGTGGCAGTATAATAAAAGGCCACCAAATTTGTCAGGCATGATTTGCCCTTGGTGAAGCCATGTTGGTTGTCTCTAATCACCTCCTTATTTTCCATGTGTCTTAGCAGAGATTCCAGGAGGATCTGCTCCATAATCTTGCCAGGCACAGAGGTGAGACTGACTGGCCTATAGTTCCCTGGGTCTTCTTTTTTACCTTTTGAATATCGGGGTTATGTTGCCCTTTTCCAATCTGCAGGAACTTCGCCAGACTGCCACGATTTCTCAAATATGATGGAAAACAGTTTAGCAACTTCATCTGCCAGCTCCCTCAGGACCTGTGGATGGATTTCATCAGGTCCCATGGACCTATGCACCTTCAGGTTCCTTAAGAGGTCTTGAACCTGATCTTCTTGTACCGTGGGCGGTTCTTCATTTGCAGAGCTCCTGTTTTTGCCTTCTATGACTTGGGTAGTGTGGTTTGATCCCTTGAAGGTGAAGACTGAGGCAAAAAAGTTGTTCAGTAGCTCAGCCTTATCCATATCCTGGGTGGCCAGGTCTCCCGTTTCCTTCCGGAGGGGGCCCACAACTTCCCTAGTCTTGCCTTCGTCTCTGATATATCTGTAGAAGTTTTTCTTATCGTCTTTGAGCTTCTTGGCTAGATTTAGTTCTGCCTGGGCTTTCACTTGCCTGATCTTGCTCCTGACCACTCGGACCATTTCTCTGTATTCTGCCCATTCTACCCATCCCTGCTTCCACCCTCCTATGGCCTTCTTTTTGGTCCTGAGCTTGTCCAGCGGTTTCTTATTCATCCACGCAGGCCTGCTGGCTATCTCCCTATTCTAGTAATCTTCCTATTCTATTTAGCACTGGGAAGATCTTGGCTGGAGTTAGTAGACTGCTATCATGAGTAAATATCATGAGCATACATGATTAAACCTGTAGGTTCTCTTGGGAAAATTTGTTGAGCACTGGATGTGGATGTTGTACATGAGATGCTTGGGTACATTATTTTTTTTCTAAAAAAGGCTGAAAAGAAAGTTGAAAACTATTTTTGGGTCTATGATCAAGACATAGAATGAAAGCAAAAAGGAATTTTTTCCCCATCCCTAACAGGGCTAGGACAAGCAGCAGTGAGCTTAAAAAGAAGCAAGGGAAATTTAGGATAGTCATAGGGTAATGTTTCCTGATGAAAAGGACAGCTAACCATTCCACCACTGGAGGACTGTAAAGAGTAGGTTAGACAAATTGATCATGAAAGACCCAAGATCCTGTTAAGAAAAAAGACAGACAGTAGGTAGTTTCTTTATATTCTGTTATTTTTAAATTTCTAAGAGTTTTTGTGAATCTTACTGTTGGACTGGCCTTAACTGCTTGAAAATGTTTTCCTCGGCAAGCCACAAAGCAAAATTCCAGTGAAAGTGTCAACCAGCAGAGAATATTTGCATGGCTGCAGAACACAAACATAGTGCTAGAAGATACCCAAATCTTTCTGATTTACAGCAAAGGAATGAACAAAAAAATGGGATTTAAAATCTTAACTTTTGAGCCTCAGTTTCTCTAAACAGTACCTCAATTTTCATTTTCTATTATATATATGCACAACTATTACACCTCAAAAAAATGAACAAGCAAACAAAAAGAGTGCTTCTGAGAGGCAAAGAGAAAAGTGCGCTATAGCATTATTGTGTTTGCACTCATGGGAAATGCAGTGATGCCACAATGATTGCAGTGCTGGATGGAAAAGGGCATTTCTTCTGAAATTATGCGAGTCACCTGTCCTTGACCCTCTCTTTCCAGGAAATCAATATCGCATGTGGCATTACACATATCACTAGATTTTTAGCTAGCTTTGACATCTACTTATTTTTATCTTGTATTGAAGCCCTTATTCACTAGTTCCAGTTTTTTCCTGTCTTTGTGTACAAGACCTTTTTTTTTTTCAGGTTTTCTCATAATGAAAATTGTTCGCT